AATGTCTGTGCTGGCAACTGTTTTATGACATCAGGTGCTAACAACAAGGAAGCTCTGCATACAAAATGTAGGGTCCTGTTCAGAGGAGGAGTCCCATTTTAGGGCCTAGGTTTTCATTGTCCTTAGAATGATTGTCCCATCACAGAGGCCAGAGAATTCAACAGCTTCTGCCTTTGGAGAGCAAATACCGGTTGTTGCTTCCCGCACGCTGAGGAAATGAGCAGGGTGTCCCAGAGGGAGTGATGGAGGGTGGAAACAAAACCCCAGGTGTGGATTCATATTTAACCCCAAGCACTTAAAGATGGGCAGACAAGGTGCTCAGGGACATGGTTTAGTGGTGGGATGGCAGCGTTAGGTTAACGGTTGGACTTGAGGATCTTAAAGGTCTTTTCCAACCTAAACGATTCTATGATTCTATTTGAAGAAGGCAAGAGGCTGGTGAATTCAGAGGGCTTCAGTTTAGGAAGACGAGACATAGGAGCAGAACCCCGTGCGACGGCATTTTCAACTCTTGTATCCGTTCCTGGAGTGCTATAGAAATACGGCAACCTAAGGAAGTACTTCAGAATACTTCCTCCAGCAAAAAAACTCTGCCCCCAAAATATTATCATGTAACTAGTGATGAGTTTTGGGGGCAATCCGTGAAAAATATTATACACCCACATACACAGCAACTGAAACAGAATATGCTCGCTGAAGCTGAGGCTGGTATTTCACCATTTAAGAAGCTTTTTCATTAGACAACCGTCTTTCAATAGCTAAACTCCGTATTTGCTACCTCAGATGTTGCTTTAAAAAAAAAAAAAACGAAGAAAAAAAAAAAGCAGTATAGATTCTTATCTCCTTTTCCAAGCAGGCTAAATTCTTCAGTCCTTAACGGTTTTATCCTGGCACAGCTATCAGGCTACATTACACATTTCTGGGAAACATGTGTCAAAATCAGAGTGCTTATTATTTATTGTAAGGAATAGTTTCACGTCTAAATGCAAGGAAATGCAACCCAGGGAAAAAATAGGATTCAAAAGAAAACGAGATCAAAAACTGAAGGAAATGACTGATTTCGCTGGATGCAAAATTGGGCCCCTGATCCTTTAGTTTCACGTATAATCCTGAAATTTTACAGAAGCATGTGCTCGTGTACTTATGGGAGTTTTGCGGGACTCAGTCCAACGTTTCTATGTAACTGCCTTCTCTAAACCTGTTTTTAATTAATCCATTACATATTCTAACTCCTAAAGAATGGGATTTAGAAAAGCACTGGGCAGCAGCCTCACTTTATTCCTATTAAGTCAATGGTAAAACTCCCCTTAATTCCACTGGGAGCAGAATTAGGCCCATGCCAAGCCCATTTTCAAAACTGCGCCTTCACAGCTTATGCAATGCCTTCTCCCCGCCCTCGGCTAAGGCACAGGCTTCCCTCTACCGTTTTCTTTTTTCCCCTTGCAAAATAAAGCCACGCGAACGCCCAAACCAACCAACCTCGGCATCTGAACTTCTGGGAACAACGGATCTCACTGTTTTCCTTCCGACTCTGCGGTTCGCGTTTTGGAGGAAACGTTTAAGCTGACGGTGCTGAACCCGCTGTGAAAGCTTAGGTAGGCTCCGACCACGTTTCAAAAAAGTTGGAGATAAACCTCCGCGTGTTGGCTGGATTCCCTCTCCCACTTAAAGCGACCCAGCATTTTACCGTCTTTCCCTGCTTCTCACCTCCCCACCGTTTATTGCACCAGCAAAATAATAAATGTCTTTTATTTTTGCAATTTTTTTTTTTTTTTTTGAAACTTTTCCTCCCGCGGAGAGCTTGGGGAGCTCGGCGCCGCAATTTGATGCCGGTACCAAATACGAGATTACTTTGCGCCGCCGCACGCC